GGGCTCCCATCGGGGTAGCTATTATATTTAGAGATGTGCAGATCAGAACTGAAGGGGCAGGATAGATGGAACAGAGCGGACAAGCCCGCTGCCCATGGCCAGGAGACTCTCCTGCAGGCTTCTGAGCCGGGCCACCTGAGCTCCAGGCGTCTCTGCCACTGGCACGTGGGCACCCTGGGAAATCGTCCCACCCCTGTACTCTGGAAGGGCCCTGGCTCTTCTGCCCCTTTTTGCAGTTTGCGTCTCAGCTTCACTGCCAGTCGGTTCCCCTCTCTGCACCTCGGCTGTGTCTATGAAATAGTCCCTCAAAGTGATTGCAAGTACATGTTTGTGTTTCTGTGCATACAATTTCCATTTGTAGATGGTATCTTCAATAATGTACACTTACATATAAATGCATCATATAACCTACATGTGAATATCATTATCTCTAATATAAATGCAATTATGCAACTGATTATTGAGGAACAGGTCATTTTCCAATCTTGAAGCAGAAGTCATTCATTTCACTCCTGACTGCGGTGTGGGCCTGGCTCAGCGGGGCCAGCCTGCCTCTGCTCCAGGAGGCATCGCTGAGATGGCTCCACTGGGGCTGGAGGATCCCACTTCCAAGATGGTGTGCCCACATGGCTGGCGAGGTGGTGCTGGCTGGCGGTTCCCTCTCCAAAGGCAGCTTGGGCTTCCTCACAGCATAGTGGCTGGGTTCCAAGAGTGTCCATTAAAGACAAAATAGAAGCTGAGCATTTCCTAGGCTCCTCATGCAAGCTCACAGCGTCACTTCTGCTGCCGCCTATTAACCAGGCAGCCCCAGAGCCCGGGTTCAAGAGCATAGCCCCCTTATCTAGAGGAAAGGCATGTCAAAGCACTTGGAGGCCAACTTTCACCACTCCCACAGCATTCAGAACAGCTCAGTAAATCTGGGTCATTTTTTTTTTCTTAATTGATTAAGGTAATATATACCTCATCTCCTTATTACTCCCCAAACCCCCACTCATGCCCTCATCCCCCCTCTCTGTGTCCATTGGTTAGGCTTATATGCATGCATACAAGTCCTTTGGTTGATCTCTCCCTCTTACTCCCACCCTCCCATACCTTCCCTCTGAGGTTTGATGGTCTGATCAATGCTTCTCTGTCTCTGAATCTGTTTTTGTTCATCAGTTTATGTTGTTCATTCTATTCGGAGAAAAAGGAACCCTTTTGCACTGCTGGTGGGAATACGGAATGGTGCAGCCACTGTGGGAACTCCCATTTGATTCTGTGATCCCACTTCTAGGAATATATCCCAAGAAGCTACAAACACCAATCAGAAAGGATATATCCACCCCTGTGTTCACAGCAGCACAATTCACCACAGCTAAGATTTGGAAACAGCCTAAGTGTCCATCAGTAGATGAGTGAATTAAAAAACTGTGGTACATCTACACAATGGAATACTACGTTGCTGTAAAAAGGAAGGAGTTCTTACCATTTGCAACAGCGTGGATGGACCTGGAGAGAAATAAGCCAGTCAGAGAAAGATAAACATCACATGATCTCACTCATTTGTGGAATAGAATGAACAACATAAACGGAGTCATTATTATAAGGAGAAAGCGTCAATAGGTGAAAGAAGCTACCCCAGCTGATGATGTGGTCCCCTCCCTCCCTGCAGGAGGAAGGGACTGGGCAGTCAGGGAGGCAGCACCCGTCAAGGAATGCTTCCGGGAAGTGATTACCTGTTCACCTACACACTACCCTCTCACCTGCCGCCTGCGTGGGGCTCTATGTAAGACTTATTTTTTTTAAAAAAGGTGTCCCAGAAACCCCTGCCCCAAAGAGAAAACCATTTTGAACATGACTGGAGCCCCTTAAGTTTTAGGGGTATCTATTCCATTTGGAAGACAGATTAGATTAGATCTAGGCAAAGGGAAGTTCAGCAACACCCACTCAGTTATTTGTGCTGGGGGTAGGGAGGGTGAAATCAACATTTTGAGGAGCCATCTGTAAGCCAGGTGCCTCCGGGGCGGCAGGGGAGGGCAGGCGATGATGTGTGGGAATGCGCCCAGTGAGATCAGAAGGTGAAGGGAAGGAATCTTCACTTTTGCTCCTTTGGCAAAAAGCTTCATTCTCTCCTGGCAAACAAGATGGCCTGGCCTGGTACATTAAAATGCAGGCCTGCAGGGATGGTCACTGGTGTCTGAGGGTGTGGGTGGAGAGTGCTTTCACTACGTGACCATCCCGTCCTGGCTTTTCCTCTTTTTAATTGTTCCCATCTGACATGGGATTCCTCTCGCCAATCTCCTCGCCAAATGCAAGCTCTTTTGTGGTTTTAGCTGCACTGGCTCTTTTCTTGGATAGTTTTGTTCTCAGCCTCTCATCTGCCGTGTTGTGTCATCAGCTTCTTCTCCTTATGTGCTGTCTGGGGCGAGGTCTGTGTGGGTCGCTGGGTGAGATGGGGAGGCCAAATGATTCCCAAAGGATTGGGAGAGCAGAGACCCAGAGGGGCGGGCAGGACCCCTGCCCTGGAGCGGGGCTGGGAGGATGAGTGTGAACAGTGCTGTCCTTGCTCTTCCGCTCCCGGAGAAAGTAATGGACAGCAAGCACCGGGGTCCTTCCCCTCGGCCTGGCTTTGGAACCCTGAACAAGTCCTATAACCCTTGGAGGACAGCCTTGTGTGTAGGGGTTCAGGTGGGTAAGGAATTCTTACAAGGCTGAGCTCTTGCCCACTGGGCGCCTTCAGCCCAGGGGGCCCGGGTGTGAGAAGCGGGTGCAGAAGTGGAAAGAACACTGGCTTTGCAGCAAAGACCTCTATTTTATAAAGTGCAGTTCTGCCAGAACGGGCTGTAGGACTAGGTGGGGGGACCACTTCATCCTGATCCGCCTGTCTTCCCCATTTGTGACGGTGGGGAGAACATTGCTTCCTGTGCTGCACCAGCTCGGCCAGGTTCGGTGAGCCCGAGGAGGGGCGGTGACGGGTTAAAGACAGACAAGAGAATACAGCTGGGGCTAGGCCCATCACTGTGCCTGGATGAGGAAGCAGTGACCCAGCCTGCAGGCGGAAGCTTTATTTTACAGTCAGAGCACACAAAGCAAAACAAGGGGAGTGGTCAACATGTTTACAACGCTCTTATAATTTTCCCCTTATATTGCTGCACCTCCCACAGCCCATTAGCTACCCAGGAAGGAACAAGGGAGGACTAGAAGGTCAAGCTTAATTATGCCAGGAGAGCTCTGCCCTCCAAGCTGGGACCTGTCACCGGTCAGTCTGAGGTTTCACCCTATGGCCACTCCCTACAGACTCCCACTTCACAGGGCTGGGCAGGGTGTGCTGGGGCATCAGCAAAAAGATGCCTGGGCGCGGCCAGTTGGCCCTGCATCCCGCCCATTTCACTGGGCAATGCAATAAAATGCAGGGGAAATCTGTGGAAGAAAAAGGAGCTGGAAGAGACTGGGTACCAAAAGCTTGGGTTTCCTCCTGGAGATGAAATTCTTTTCCAGGTGTTAAAACTGGAATTACTATAAGCTCCCCTTCCTTCCCTTAGAACAGAAGTGGTGGTGGAAATGGGGCTCTTCACGGAGTCACAAGAAAAGCATTTTGGAGACCCCTGCCTGGGAGGATGAGGTGCAGTGGGAAGATTTATTAAAGTGAAAATGAAGGACTGTCTCCAGGCCCGTGTCTCATCCATGACCAGGCAGCTTAGCTCCGTCCTGCTGTGAAAGAAGTCCAGCCTTGTCTTCACCAAGCCTAGAAGAGCCAGGGTCCCGAGAGGTTGTGCCATGACTCAGCATCAGAAGGGCACCTGGCGCTGCTGTAGTTCAGTTTAGTCCAATGCTTAGTCCAGCTGTCTCTGTCCCCATCTGCGAGTGTAAGATCCGTTGCCGCTGCTCTGGCTGGGGCTGAGCTGCCATACAGAGGCCCAAGGTGGGCCTGTGCGGCTGCCCAGGTGCACAGCTGCAATGACCTGTGCGTGGCACTCCACAGCTGCTACGGCTACTATGGAGAGAGAACATGCGCAAATAGGCCAACAAATGAGCAGGTGCGCACTATGAGACAGGCCTTGGCTTGGAAGAGAGCCAGCTTCCTTTCAAACTAAGGCATTTCTTTCCTAATGCTTCATGGGCTTGTGCTGGGTCCTTCCCCATCCAATCTCTTTTCTAGATCTTCTGGGGTTTCGTGCTCTCATCCAATCCAATCCTTTTCACAGGCTAGATACCTTCCCTTTATGGGCGCCATCTGGACTCCTATTGCGCATGTGCCAGGCAAATGAATTTCCCCTCCCTTTTCCGTCCTGGTAATCTGGCTAATGGACTGTTCCCTGGGAGACTGGAAAGTGGATCTCCCAGGGATTAAGTCCCCTTTGGCAGAGGACGTGGCTTCCCTCTGAAGCTGTCTGAAGGTGTCTGAAGCTGTAACTTCCTGACTTAATCAGGCTCAGCCAGTCTAGCTCCCTTCTCCTTTTATTGATTTCAGAGGGGAGAGAGATACAGAAACCAATGATGAAAGAGAATTATTGATCAGCTACCTCCTGCACACCCCTCAGTGGGGATAGAGCCCAGAGCCCGGGCTTCTGTCCTGACCGGGAATCAAACCATGACCTCCTGGTTCATAGGTGAACGCTCAGCCACTGAGCTTTGCCAGCCGGGTCCCTTTTATTTTGTAAACTCCTAGTTGCCTATGCTAACAGTATGACATGAATTGGGTGCCAGCTCCCAAACTCCACAGAAAGATAAATAATCTTCCATGCTGATTTACAGATAGCCAAAGTTTGTTGCATTAGGCAGCTTTGAAGAGGTTAATACCCACTAAATGCATGAAATGCACTAGTCAATTTTCCTACTTGGAGAATGTTCTTCAGATGGCTCATCTTGGGGTCATTTGGATTCTGTACCAATCAAAATCTGACATTCTGAGAGGGAACTAAGGAATAAAATCCTTAAATTCAGGATCTTGCTTATGCAACCCTTCCCAATGTTATAAAACATTCCCTTGTATTAGCTCCAAATTCTTTTGTTTCTTTTTATGTCTATTAAATTAGCCTGGAATTTAATTTTATGTATGGTATGAAATCCAAGTTGCTCTATTCACCCTTCAAAACAACAGCTAGTAGCTCTCATCCCATTTCTTAAGAAGCAAGTCCTTCCCAGCTTTGAGATTACTTAGTAATATATTCTAGAATCCCACCTGCTCGGAGGTGTTATGTTCCATTGATGCGCTGATTTGCCAGAACCATACTGCTTTCAGCACTGACGCTTTAGAGTAGGTTTTGACATTGGCCTTATCAAGTTCGATGAAAACATCCTTTGGGATTTTGATTGTCAAATATAGAATATCTTAATACATGAAGAAATAAGAACTTTATAATATTGAAACTTGCACTACTGGGCTCCCAGAGGCCAGCACTCATGATGAGTTTCTGGAAACTGTGCCACTGCAGCTTTGGCCCGAGGCAAATCCACTGGCAAAGCACACCACCATTTAGAAAAATACAGGATGGGACCCACAAGCCAAGACAGCTCCACTTAAAAGATGTCTGTATTTCTCAGCACGTTGTCAAGTGGTCATTTTCCGTTCTTTAACCTCATTATCATCATGTAAATTATATAATTCTGATTTGGACAAGTACTCGAATCTTGGGAAGAAAAAGCTGGGTCCCTCAGCATTTGCCCTGCAATCTGAGTGCTCTTCCTCGTGGCTCTGATGAAGCCTGCCCAGGTCTGCCCGAGGCAGGATGGAGGGATGAAAGGTGGGCCTAGGCTGGTACATTTGGGGGACTTATATTTCAGACACGTGGTCTTTAGTTTTCCTTATATTACTTTCCCACAAATATAAACATGATAATACTCATTCAGATGATCAGTATATCAATACATCTGGATTATTCTGACTGCAAGTGACTGAATACCCAAGTGACCTGGTTTAACCAAGAGGGATCACTATTGATGGGTGTCACAGTCCACAGCGGGCTGGTGTAGGCACAACTGGACACAGGGCCTCAGGTGGCATCATCACGCTCTCCTTTCCCTCTCTGGGCTTGGATGAATCCATTCACATATTCGTTTCCGGAGCTGCTATGTATTTGCCAGGGCTTGCTCACAGCTGGGGTACACAGGAGTGAAAAAGATAGGCAGTGACACATTTCCTGTTCTGAAGTGCTAGTCAACAGTGAAAACGTCAACAAAAAACAAACAAGAGCATGCCGAATACAAGAGGTGTTCAGGAAAAAGAGAAAAGCTACACAAAAGGCAACAGAGTGAGCAGGTAAGATGATCAGCTCGCTGCTCTGGTTTGGGTGGCCAGAGTTGGCCTCTGACATCCCCGCTGAACGCCCAGTGACAAAACAAAGCCAGTCCTGCAGATGAGGTGGACATTCAGGCCAAGACAGAAGAAGCCCCGAGGTCCCAAGGCAGGGAAGGTCCTGGTCAATTTTAAGATATTTGTCTACTCTTTTATTCATGACAACTTGGAAAAGGAGTCTGCATTTAATGAACAAATCTAAGGATGGTGAAAATGAATAAACAGAAACCTCGTTGAAAGTGGAGTCCAGAAGCTGCAAGGAAGGTCTTTCACACGTGTCACTCTATGCACACTACTGACTTCAACAGGAAGGACGAACCCCGTTTCTCTGACAGGACATGAGTCTACTTGCTGCCTCAGCAGGAGGAAGAAAGGATTCCTTTTGGCCTAGTAACAGCTCAGCCAATGGGAAGCTTCCATAACTCAGCCAACGAAAAGTCACTACACTTCCATCGTTATGTTTCCTCCAATGGGCTCTTCGTTTACAACAGCTCCTCCCAAGTCCATAAAAGAGCATTCCTCTCCTTTGTTTCTCAAGACTTTCACATGGTTTGCCCGAATTACAATTCTTTGTTGTTTCTTATTGTCCCATTTTGCTAAAGAAATGTCTATTTGGATATCTATTTGGGTAGATTTTCTTTCTGAAGTCTCCACAGTATTTTCATTGTAAAACCAAAAAGAAAATGCTTTTTCCAAGGGTGATTGAGTACCTTAAGAATATTTTCTTGAAAGTTCATGCAAGGCCTGGCCTCTTGAGGCATAATAATGTACTTAAAATACACAGTAAGACCCTCTGGTGAAAAAATAAAATTTCCAATGCGTGTACATTGGAAAAAATAAAACCTCCACTTAAATGCTTATTTTGACGTTGTGCCCAGGATCAATTGCAAAAGTGCTTCTGTTTGGAAAGCATAGTTCAGCCAAAATCCAGCTTCCTTTTTAGGAACAAGGTACTAGAGGAAAAAACTCGAAAACACAGGCCTTGGGCTAATGGGAGTGTGAGCGCACCTGGGGGACTGCCTGTGACCCAGGCCTGGATGGCTCACTTTCCAAAGCCACTGTCTCCTGTGAGCCGCTTCCTGCTGTGTGCAGGGGGGAGGGAAGGGGTGTGGCCGGCACTGACAGAGGGCAGAGCGAAGCCAAGGGGGAGGAGAAGGGCTAGAAAGGTAAGGAGAGAACAGAGGAGAGCAGGAGAGCCCACACAACCAAGGGTCCAGGTCGCACCAGCTCTCCATTTCCGACACCAGGACTGAGTTGAGACAAGTGGTTTGTACCCAGGAGGCGGAGGTACTTGGCTTCTGCGATATGAATGCAGCTTTCCCCTCCAGCAGTGCCAGGCAGGGTCCCAGGGCACGAGCACATGTCCTGGTTGCCCACAGTGCTCCTGTGTCTGGTCCCTGCCGGGGCCTCAGACTCTCCTAAACACTGTCACCACTTACTCCCACTCGCTTATTGCTCATTGGTCCCCTAAACCCTCCAACTGCTGTCTCTCCAGAGGACCAGCCTGGCTATACCACCCAGTGGGCTAAGGGCAATGACAAAGAGAACTGAATCCTTGGGGAAGTCAGCCTCCGGAGTGTAGGAAGTGCACTGGTTAACTTTCCTACTCGTCAGGAGGTCACCAGGCAGGGCCTGAAGGCTGTGACTTCCTAGAAAGAATGAACCTTGTCAAAGCAGCTCGTGTAGCATCAGTTGGGCTGCATCCTAGGATGCGGGCCTCTGGAGGTCCAGTTGTCACAGTCAGTCAATGGTCTGGGTGCGGGTCTCTAGCATGGCCACCCGCTGGGTCACTGGCCCTCTGCTGCCCGGCCAGCTCCACCTTCAGGGTGTTGGCACCCAGGTGTAAGCCCTGTAAGCGGGAGAGGGCCTCCTGGGCCGAGGCTGGGTCCAGGAAATGGAGGAAGGCCCTGTGCTGGGGGCCCTGCCAGGTGAGCCGCAGTGGGGCTGCGCCCCGTTCTCTGAGGGCTTTCTTCAACTCACTCACTCGGGTGTCCTGGGGGAGGTTCCCCACATAAACAGTGTCAGAAGGCACATCCTCCCCGTTCGGGGAACCTGCCTCCGGCTGGGCTGGGCCCCCGGGTCTTCTTACAGTGCCTGGCGGAGCTGAGTGTTGGCTGCGGGCTTCCAGGTGCGGCTGCTCATCCTTAAGCGTGACGTCTCTCCCGGCCTGCTTCTCTCGGGAGCGAAGGCTTCTGAGTATTGGGATTCTTCCCATCATCGAACAGCTGATCTGAAAAGGTAAAGCAGTTCCAGCTGGTCAGGGTGTCAAAGGGACCGTGACTTGGTCAGGAGGGAGGAGATGGAAACCCCACAGGGGCCTCTGCCACACGTGCTCTCTATGTGCACGTAAGCCACGAGCCCTGTGATGTGCGTTCCCCCTCTCCTACTCTGTAGCTTTGAGCCCCTGGCTGAGGACATGCCGCAGCAGCTGGCAAGAACGGGCAGCTTTCTCTATTCTCCCAGAGGCCAGAAGCAGAGAATTGAGGACCTCCCGCACAGGGGGCAGCTGCGGTCAGCAGTATGAGGGCTAAGGGTCACAAATGGCATGTCCCCTGCTGGCTCCCCAGGATAATGGTTTTTTTGCCTCTGTATCTGTCCCCTCCCCCTGACCTATGCCACTGGGCAGGATGAGGTCTGTAATAGGCAACAGGGATCCCCTCCTGCTCTCCACCCTCCACTGAAGAAGCATTTCTCTGAAATAGAACTGATTCAGCAATGAGTGTAAAATAACAAAAACTACACACACACACAACGTTAAGTCTCAATGGACAGGACTTCTATACAAAGGACATCTTTGGCTTTTTGGCCTAATCAATCAACAGATAATTCCTGAAACCTACAACAAAGGAAAGGTAGGTGTCCCAGTATATGAGGCTCAACTGTGGAGCCTCCCGAACAGGCTGCAACTGCTTCCATGGGCCTGCAGTGTGGAGACGGCTGGCTCTGTCCTGCTGGGGCAGGGACCCTAGGGCTGCCAGTGGGTCAGCCTGAGCCTGGACCACTGAGCTGGGGCAGAATTTATACTAATAAAAGAGTAATATGCTAATTAGACTGGACGTCTCCCGGACAAAACCGCAGTGGCTGCAAGGCCAAAGGCAGGCAAATGGCCGCAGCTATGAGGGCCAAAGGCAGGCCATCGTGGAGGTGGGCAGTGGCAGCAGCAGCGGGTGACAGGGGTGGCGCCTTTCCCTGATCACTCAGTCGCCTCTCACAGAGGGAGGCCAGAGGCAGCAGCAGTGGCAGGTTGAGGGGGGCAGCACCTTCCCGATTGGCCCAGTCACCTCCTGCAGAGGGTGGGGTTCCCTCCCTGGGACTCTCCCACAATTCTGTATATAATACAATTCCACAGTGTCTGCTCATGGACTTCCAAACCACAACAAGTGTTCAGGCCTCTGGTTAAAAAGCAATGAATCAGAGTAAGATTTACAGAAAACAAACACCTAAGAATAGCCTAGCGCCTCCTTACAGACTTAATTTAACCTGGTCCAAGTAACACTCCCCACCTCGGCAAAGCCCCTCTGAGGGTCAGAGCTCTCTCCGAGTGGACCCCAGCCTTGCTCCCTGGCAGAGCAAATTTGGTTTTCTTTCACATGCTACAATCACGCTCACTGAAGCACGCACTCTCAGTCTCTTAGAGAAGCCTCTGCGAGCGGCACTTGTCCTTCTGGGCCTCGGAATGGCACAGACTCGGCTGCCATGGAAAGATGGTGCACAGACAGGCTTGCTCTTTCTCATGTTGCTCACTGTTCAGACACATAGAAAAAAATCATGTCTGTGCCATGGGATTTCCACAAGATGTGACTACTCTTTTCTAATCGACAGAAACTTTTTGCCCATTGTCCCTCCAAAATTCTTTTGAACAGATTCATCAAGAGGCGATTAAACTCACAGGCCTAGAGGCTCTAGGTCCCCCAAGATCCCAAAGATTATCTAAGTCCAGCCCACCCGACTCCTTCCCATGTCCCCACTATACCTTCCTAAGAAGTTCAGATTTTTATAATCTTTCAGAATATTTAAAAACTGACTTAAGCCGAAACCGGTTTGGCTCAGTGGCTAGAGCGTCAGCCTACAGACTGAAGGGTCCCAGTTCAATTCCGGTCAGCGGCATGTGCCTTGGTTGCAGGCATGTCCCCGGGGGGTCTGCAAGGGGCAGCTGATCTATGATTCTCTCATTGATGTTTCTAACTCTCTATCCCTCTCTCTTCCTCCGTAAAATATCAATAAAATATAAAAAAAAAATTTAAAAAAAACTGACTTAAACTAATCATAATTAGATTCTTCAGGTTACTAGATGTGGTATATAGAAAGCATGATCAAAACCTGCAATTACAACTAGAGAAAAAGTCTGACTATACCTACGTGGAGGAGCTAAACGTCATTCCATGGCAAGTAGCAGCAGCGGGAACCGCAGGCCTCTCAGTCCCTGCTGTCTGGGCCGGGGGAGGGTGACCACCCTCATGTGCTGTACCCACCGTGGGTTTTGCCCTGTGGAACCACAGAGCTCCCTCAGGCAGAAGTAAGTGTTCTCGGGAAACCTGGCCCACGGGGCAAGGCTCTACACTCGGGCGACAGAAGTTCATTTTAAAACATGTCACATGAAGCAAAAATACGTCCTGCTGCACACACTCTAGGCTGGCCCCCGAACCACCCGCAACCAGCTGGAGAATGTGAAACGCTTTCACCCACAGCGCACACTAGCGGGGAGTCTGCAGCACCCTCGCACGGGCACGTGCAAAGGGCCCTTAGAAACTGGGATGACGGATGCGTCCTTTCACGTAAAACTGTTTGCTTCAAGAGCAGGATGTTCATTGGGTACAAGGAGTGACAAGCTAACGTCAGCGTATCTTCCACATCCCCCCTAATTCTAAACGGAAAAGCCCCCGGGCAGCGAGGCGGCTCCTGCCAGCTGCCTGCCGTTTCTGTGCTCTATGCTGACGGCTCGGCGACGGCTCCCCACGCGGACAGAAAGGCCTCTGTGAGCCAACCTACGGCTGCACATCACATTCAGGACAGCTCCACGGCAGTGCTACTGTTTTTCCTGGCTGGCAATTAGGAACATTTGTGCCATGTGCAATGAAAGATGTTGCTTGTTAATCAAACATAAAAACATATTTCCACCCTTGTGTAACTAAAAAAATAGCAAAGAGCGAATTTGATTTTCTTTTATATGCTGCAATCACGCTTCACTGGAGCAAACAGATATCAGTCACTCATGTGCCCTTTAATGATTCCTGTCCCTACAAACACATGTAAGTCCAATATAAATCAGGGATCTGACACGGCAGGCATCTGCTGCCAACCCAAAAGAAGAGCCTTGGGCTCCAATTGTACCTCAGCCACACAAGGCTTTACGGTTTGGATACGTGGCTTTCCTTCTGGCTCTCGCTTTCCTGAACCAGAGATGAGGAGAGAAGGATGGGGTCTTTAAAATCCCCTCCATTCTAAAATGCTAGGGCAGGTCTGAGCCGCTGCCGGCAAAGAGGAACAGAAAGCCACAAGTATTTGCAATGGAAATACAACCCTTCTGCATGAGACTAGAGCTTATCACTGATGACAGTGCTCTGAGGTCCCTCCAAATGCCAGGTGAAAAGGTTCCAGAGGAAGCGCACTCAGAGGAGGACAAGCCAGGGCATGGGCTGTCTTCCCCAGATGCCACCCATGCCTTCAAGTGCCCACTAGCTTTCTAATTACAGTATCTCTAAGTATAATGCTATAAACCAGCTGGCAAATAAATCCTAGTCGCTAGCCCTCCTAGTGATCGGCTCATTTCTGCTGTCTATAGCTAGATGACTTGTGGAAGGAGACCTTGAACCTGGCTGGTAATCAGAATCCCATGGGTGTGCAAAGTAATTCTTACGTCTGTGCCTGGAGACAGCGATTCAGGAGCTGAATTATTGAAAAGCTCACGATAACTCGAACGTCCAGCCATGTCGAACGTCCTGTGTCGGAGAACACAGGAAAGAGAGATGCCTCCAAGCTGTGGCCAGCACTGGCCACGGGGAGGCTGTGGCTGCCCTCGATGCCACACGCTGACCCACCTTAGACCATATGATTCCTGTGGGCTTTGGGCGCTCGCACCCCGTGGCGATGACTCTGGTTGGAGTAAGAATATAGTCCACGGTGAGGTCGTGATCCTCAAGAAGCGCCTCCGGTATGTCGATGACCTAAGCAAACAGAAGTGGTAAGGAGCGGACGGGAACACGCTGCAGTGTGCACGGCACCATGCAGTGGAGGTTCCATCTCCCCGGATCCTCTGGGAGCGGCCTAGCTGCCCCCTCACTAAACAGGCCCAGCCCCAGCTGATCAATGCCACTCATGACACAGGGAGGGACTGGTCTGCCTCTCCCCACCGTCCCCTCCGTCCCCACGACCCCTCACTCTCTCAGAGGAGCACGGCAGTGGCTCATTGGCCACAGGAAGCACCTGGCAGTCGTGGACGATGGTTACCACTGGCGTCCCCTGGCTGACTGCTCCCATCGACGCCATCATGGCATATTCAAGGTCAGCAAAACCTTCTCCCTTCCCAATTCTCCAGCCTAGGAGACAATGCAGAGAATCAACATCTGAGTAGGGTCCGGGTAATCATTCAGGAGTAAACTTTTCATTACGTCACAGTGAAGAGAGAAACATGGACCCCATATTCCTGGCCTTCCATAGTAACTCCACAGGTGGCCACTGAGAACTAACTTAAAGAGGAATCAGAGAGGAGTAACAACACTGAGTACAGTGGCTAACACAACAATGAAGTGAACGTCAAACCGATTAAACATGCTACAAAAGGTAACTGAACATGCGTTTATGTGAGCTTTGTGTTATCAGGGCTCCATTTAAAAACAATGAAAGAGTTGGTTTTTTGTTTGTTTGTTTGTTTGTTTTTAATGTATTTTATTGATTTTTTACAGAGAGGAAGGGAGAGAGAGAGAGAGCTAGAAATGTCGATGAGAGAGAAACATCGACCAGCTGCCTCTTGCACACCCCCCACCGGGGATGCGCCCGCAACCAAGGTACATGCCCTTGACTGGAATAGAACCAGTGACCTTTCAGTTCGCAGGCCGATGCTCTACCACTGAGCCAAACCGGTTTCGGCGAAAGAGTTTTTAAAAGGACTAAGAGTAACTTCCTACTAAAGGCAAAATCTTTCTCATCTCCTTCCTTGAAGGGAAAATAAAAGCTCTAAAATCAGGGCTATGTGATTTAAGATGGCACAGCTACCCAATCAACCCTACAGCTCCTGAGGGAGGGTGGTATTTCTGCTAATTCGTAAATGGTAGCATAGCAAAGGGATTATTATCCAAGGATACAGGAGGAAAGAACACAGCAGGACAGTAAGCAGTAACATGCCTCTGGCTCCCAAATTGAGCCTATACAGTCCTCTGGGTAGCAGCCATGACAGTGCAGAAATTCTGACTTCTACTTCACATCAGCCTCACCACCGAGAGTGTAAGTAAGCATCATTGCTTGTGCATCTGAGATCCAGATCTGATCATGATACTTTTACAATTAAAAGCCTTCAACAGTGCAGGCAAAGAAATAAGAGAAAGACTAATTCAACAGAAAAATAGCAAGGGATATGAACCATCCACAGAAAGAGATGGGCAGATGAACAGCAGCACACAGATGAGAATGTTGAATTTCACTCCTAACTGATGCAAATCCAAGGGCACATGAAATGCCATCAGATGGGCAAATCATTAAAGTTGGATGGTTTCTGTGATTAACAAGGCGGTGGGAAGAGAGGCGTGCAAGGGCCAGCCCTGGTGTCACTTCTGAGATGATGCCCTGCTTGAGGCTCACAGGTGCCTCCTCTGACCCAGCTGCTGCCCGTCCTAACTTCCACCCGATGCTGTACACATGATCCTGAAATTGGGCTGCTGTCTGCTCCTCCCGCTCACTGTGGGCCCTGGGCAGAGAACACCCCACTGGCCTGGCTCCTGGCCCCTGGGAGGCACGTAGGACGGGTGTGCTCATGTGCAACCCCCTTGTGACAGGTAAAGTATCTGTAACTGTGCACAGGTAACACAAAACATCTCCCATATTAGCTCAGAGCTGGGAAAAGACAGAAAGTAAATTGAAGGTGAAGATGCTACGGACCAGCATTTAAAAACACCAAGCTCAATGATTGCCTTGGAGCATCTCTCACCAACTACTTACTGAAAACCTCTCCTGAAGACAGAGCTGGACCTTGACCAATTAATTTCAAAGAGAAAGCTTTGGGTGCCCAGCCTGCATGGCTCAGAGTTTGAGCGTCGACCTATGAACCAGGAGGTCACAGTTAGATTCCCGGTCACATGCCCAGGTTATGGGCTTGATCCCTGGTTTGGGGTTTACAGGAGGCAACCAATCAATGATTCTCTCGCATCATTGGTATTTTTATCTCTCTCTCCCTCTCCCTTCCTCTCTGAAATCAATGAGGACATATTTAAATAAAAACAAAGAGTTTGGAGATGAGAGGAGAGAGAACACTTTCCTAGTGGGATCCAAATCACACTGTATAAGCAGGTCTGAGATTCCAGCAAAGAATCAGCAGATTGTTTTTCAAAGAGCATCAGGCTGGGCTGGGGCAGAGCAGTGCAGGGGGAAGAGGTCCCTTGGGAAGCACAGGGGCCCACCCAAGGGTGCCAAGCAGAGGGCCAGCGCCACACTGCTCACCAGCCTGCACCGCGAAGCACCAGGCCTCACAGCTCACCTACACCCCCAAGCATCAAGCCTCGCAGCTCACCTGCCTGCACCACGAAGCACCAGGCCTAGGACACGTCTTGTCCAGAATGCTGCTGCTCCATAACAAGAGGGGTAGCAGTTAAGGTTTCCCACTTACTGGAGGCTCCCCAAAACCAGCAATTTACTGACATACTGCAAATAAATTCAGCTCAGTGCCAGTTAAGAACAGAGGGAAAACCTTTCACCACCTGAAGGGGACATCTTACTGTATTTTTCCTGTTGAGAAGAGTGAAAACACTGTAAAAGTGTTAAGTGGGGCCAGGAGTGAGAGGGATGGAGTTAACTTTTCAAAAATGAATGATAGATGTACTGGTTTTGGAAGCCAGGCATGTGACCGGAAGCTGAAATTCCTTGCTGTTGGTGCTCAGAAGCAGAGCAGAGCCAGTGGAAAGCAAACTGCAGGCTAAGTGGTCGCACTGGGGTTTCTGCTTTTAATCTTACCTTTTTCAGAAACAGCCACGGAGCCTACCACCACCAAGTCCACAAGGACCCTGGCGTCCAAGTCCACGGGAACACTGTAGTCCCTCACGCCCTGCGGACAGAAACACAGACCTGAGCTTCCCCGCAGCGAGCAGCTGCCCCACCTCACAGCTCACAGGAGACTGCGAGTCGGGATCAACCTCCTGCGAGAAACATGCACACGCAGCCCTACAACGATGGCAGAGAAGGGAATCTCAGGAAAGCCATTTTAGGATGGTTTACCACAGTGTCTTCTCAGGAAAGACGCCAAGAGGAACTGACAGCACAAACAGATAGGATATTAACCTCATGATTTTTAGCAAACCCTTTCCCGGGCCACAGAAGAGCACCGTGATGAGAACACAGGCAGGCTCTGGAGGCCCTCTGAACATGGTCCAGCCCCCTCTGCCCTGTGACTCAGCAGGACGCGCTCTGGGCTTCAGTTTCCTCATCTTTCAGACAGGGACACCACCCCAGGCTTGCTGGGCTGGTGTTACGACAAAACAGTAACACGGAGGTACAGCATTTGGCACCTAAGACGTGGCCACATTCATGCAGTATGAAAGGCTGGAGGCCATTACCTTGGTGTATAGCACTCTCACTTCTGAAATATTACTTATTCAACCAAAGTGCACCAAAAGTACCCGCATGTGTGCTAACTAGTGGAGGCCTGTATTTAACGAATAGGGAAGCTGATAGGCAGTGATTCCATAACAAGGGCTACAGTTAACCTAGGAAACCAGATTGGGACGCTGCTCAGAGCAGTACCTGGCAGAAGTGAGTCACTAGGTGTGGTATTGGCCCCTGTCTCCCGTCTACAACTATCGATATATGACAAGCCACGAACAGAATCAGTACATGGGATTAGTCTGGGGGACTCCCAACAGTCAAACTAGTCAACAGCCTCGGTGTTCCCACTGCGGGAAAACCTGTTTTCCTCACTCTCAGGCCACAGCCCTTGTCCCCAACTCAGTTTTATTTTATTTTATTTATTTATTTTTAAAATATATTTTATTGATTTTGTACAGAGAGGAAGGGAGAGAGATAGAGAGTTAGAAACATCGATGGGAGAGAGTCATCGATCAGCTGCCTCTTGCACACCCCTTACTGGGGATATGCCCGCAACCAAGGTACATGCCCTTGACTGGAATCGAAGCCGGGACCCTTCAGTCCCCAAGCTGACGATCTATCCATTGAGCCAAACCGGTTTCGGCCCCAACTCAGTTTTAATGGGCTCAGTGCTGGGCAGCCGCAGTGAGCAGACAGCTGTGTGGGGTTTCTGAGCTGTACTCTGTCATAATTCCTCTTCCCTCACTCAGCCAGCCTCACTTGCTAAGCCTCGCCAGACAGAGCATGAGCAAGCAGGAGTCTCCCGATTCTCCAAAGTCATGTTCCAACCAACAAAAAGAGTCACTGATGGGTAGACGGACTTATCATGTGATTGACACACTTTTCTGCCTGCCCACAGGGTGGTTACCAGAACACTCCTGTGTCCGAGCAAATACAACGACAAGGATGACAGGCATAGATGGCTGGGTGTGATGGTGTCAGGGGGCTGAGGTGGTGAGGACAAACTCAGAGACTCATCTTCCAAGAAATAAGAAGCCCCCGGAGCCTCCTAGAGGAGACAGACACTGAGGCAGTATTTCTGCCACTGAGCTTTGGCAAACAAGATAATGATCGCACTAAAATCTGTACCTGTGTGTCTCTCCCCACTTCACCATTTTCCCGAGCCATAAATCAAATGGAAATGAAAATCTTTTTGAAGTTCATGATTCGGGATCTCTGATTTGGATCCAGTATCTCATGCTATAAAACGCCCAAACCCTGCTGTTCAGTCCTTATTAAAGTTCAGCCATGGGAATGGGTCTGGCCTTCTCGTGGGCCATTTAGCTTTCAGGAGTGCATGTGTGGGACAGCCAGTGTTGGTGCTCCATGGGCAACTCCTGGCAGAGTGGTGGTCCCCTTTCGGAGGGGAGAGGGATGCTGTTTCGAGTGACAGACCACTATAGCAGCACGAACCTGGACCTCAATCCCAGGAAAAGACTAAGTTACTGTCATGAGCCTATGATTTACACGGAACACATCCCGTCGCTCCAAGAAACGTGCGTTCAAATCTGCAACCCAGGTTGTGAAGGGAAGAGGGTCACAGGTTTGCAGTTGTGAGCAGCAACCTGAACCACTGCTGCTTCTTATTCTTCTTCCTTATTTTCCCTTTGCGCCTTTTCCCACACATATTTTATTATTTTACTTTATTTTATGTACTATTGTAAGCCTCATCAAACTCCATTTTTGGAATACAACAGGTTATCAATAAATAACAATAAAGCATTCAATTTTTACACATTAGATTCAAGTGAAAAATCTCTGTAAAAAAAATATCTTGATGCCCTATTTTTTATTTCAGCAAATTGAGAATCAAATGACTGGAGAAACCAAAATGGTGGCATAAGGTAAACACCTAAATGTAGCCTACCACAACAATTTTAAAATTCTAACTGGAAAACAAGATTGGACATCGTCCAGAACCACCAGAAAGCTGGCTGAGTGGAAGCTCTATCAACTAGAAAAAGAGAGAAAAGAACGCTGAGTCTCAGGAGCTGTGGAGGTGTGGAGATCTGTGAGCGCGAAAAGGACGGGCGGCTGAATATGCTGCTGGCTTACTCGCGGCACACAGAGAGGGTGGGCAGCTAATTAATGCGTGGCTAGCTTTCTTGTTGGGGAGGAAAACAAAACCTCCTGATTGTACTGATATCCAGCTCTGGACAGGGAGAAATTGGACTGTCTGGCAGCGGGCGAAACTCGAGAGCAACCTTCTCTCAGAGGTGCGCGCAGTCAGCAGCAATTGCCGTGAGACTCGGAGAACAGGGCCCTCTTAGGGTGGGGCTGACAGGAAACCAAAGCTTGTCTGCACCCTGAGACTCCGCCCCATCCAAGCTGAGCACAGAAGCCCTCCTAGCGAGACAATGCTGATCATCACAGCCATTTGGTTTGGAGATCAACTCTCCCCAGTGATACCAACAACAAGCAAGGCTTAACTACAAGACTGCTCATACAGCCCACAAAGGGCTGCACCAAGAGGGTCCACCACAGATAACTGGGGAGGCTGAGTTATGGGGTCCTGCTAGGACACGTAGCACGCAAAGCCACTCCATCAACTCAGGGAAGCAGCTAAAATGTGGAGACAAAGAGGCAGGTCTCAATTGAAGGAAATGGAGGAAAGCAAAAGACTGGATAGAGTTCAAAACCACAGTTACAAGGTTTTTCAAGAATTTCCTAGAAAAGGCCGATAAATTAAACGAGTTCCTTGAGGATATGAAAAAGGGATCAACTAGACATTAAGAATACACTAATTGAAATAAAAAATATTATACAGAGACCTAAAGCAGACTAGAGGATCGAAAGAATCAAGTCAAAGATTTGAAATAGCAAGAAGTAAAAAACACTCCTCCTGAAAAGCAAAAAGCAAATAGAATACAAAAAGTTGAAAATAGTGTAAGAAGCCTCTGGGACAACTTCAAACGTACCATCATCAGAATTATGGGGGTCCCAGAAGGAGAGAGAGAGCAAGATACTGAAAACCTATTTGAGGAAATAGTGACCGAAAACTTCCCCCACCAGGTGAAAGAAATAGACTTACAAGTCCAGGAAGCACAGAGAACCCCAAACAAAAGAAATCCAAAGAGAACCACACCAAGACACATCATAATTAAAATTCCAAGAGCAAAGACAAAGAGAGAATATTAAAAGTAGCAAGAGAAAAGCAGTTAGTTACCTATAAGGGAGCACCCATACGATTGTAAGCTGATTTCTCAACAGAACTATGCAGACCAGAGGGAATGGCAAGAAATATTCAAAGTGATAAATAGCAAGAACCTACAACCAAGATTAGTCTACTGAATGAAAGCTATCATTCAGACTTGAAGGCCAGATAAAGAGCTTCACAAATAAATTTAAAAAAAAGGCTAAAGGAGTTCATCACTGCCAAACCAGAATTATATGAAATGCTGAAAGGTATTCTTTAAGAAGAGAAAGAAGATGATAAAGATAAAAATTATGAACAACAAATACATAACTATCAACAAGTGAATCTAAAAACCAAGGGAATAAAAAATCTGATGAACAGTATTAACTGGTGAATATAATAGAAACAGGGGTATAGAAAGGAAGCAGACTGACGATTATTGGGGAAAAGGGAAGTGGGGGGGGGGGTGCAGGAAGAGACTGAACAAAAATTGTGCACCTATGGATGAGGACAGTGGGGGTGGTAAGGGCAGAGGGTGGGGTAGGAACCTGGTTTAGGGGAGCTATGGAGGGAAAAAAGAGGAACAATTGTAATAATCTGAATAATAAAGATTTATCAAATTAAAAAAAAAAAAGAATCGAATGACCTGGGTCTACTCTAGGAGTCTGAAAAACCACCAAATTATATTTCTTTATCTGTAAACTACAAGATAAATTCCATTATAATGCACACTAATGTAATAGTTACACACTTTGGTTTTATTACATGGTGAGGCATTCAATAATATCTTATATACAATGTATATATATATCCTCATATATACATACCCATTTATACACATATACATATATAGGGTGACCCTCCCAAATGTATATACACTATGTCTGTAGATTTTATTATATTTAAAAACTGAAATGAATTTTAATAAATACTGTCTTTATAACTATTCAAAGTGCGTGTGCATTTTTATATACATACATACATATGTATATATAAGCAATAATTAATTTACAACTGGTGAGTCATTACAATTAAACATATTTTGGAAATTCTATCCTGTATTCCCAATTGCTCTCATGGCCTTTGATAAAAATCTACAGACCACTAAATATCACAGATTAACACTAGAGGGGGCTAGAGTACCAGGTAATTTGTTTTTCCTTTTCTCTTTTAACAGAATTTATAATCTGCCAGTTTAGTACAAAATTAGAAACCAAGGTATAAAAATGAAACCCGTGTATTCATCATGTTTCTACCTGGCTCCCGTAATGACAGGACTGCTGAATACTTTGCAACATCTCTGTTCATTTGACTGTGATAAAAATAAATGTCCAGCGCTGTGGTAAATTATAGGCTATTCTGAGCAGAAGCTGCAGCTGAAACATTCCTCTCCTCTTGCACACTTACCTGAGAGGTGGCACATTTTCTCAGGATGTCTTTAGTTGCCCCAGGGGGTGGTGTGATCCGATTAAATAACCCTGTTCTCAGTCTTGGTGTTGGAACCAACAATGTTTTTTTGCTCTTTTAAAAGAAAAAATTGATAAATTACAAAATGAAATAGGAACTTTCTTATATATGTTTTTAACATTTCAGGAGTGAAACAAGTTACTATTATCTGCAATTTCTTGGTGTCTGCCAAGGAAATGACTTGTTTGCAACCAAATAAATAAATGTATGGGGGTTCATTTTACTTAGAGACACTACTTTCCCCAGCCTTTCGCAGGGCATTTGTTAACAGCTAATTCTACTTCACTTGCCAATGAAAATGTGACATGCAAAAAAATGACAACACGAATCCAAACCAAGGTCTGTTCTTATAAAATTTCCAACCATAACTTTCCCATGTTCCCTGTTCTCAGCATTAATTATATAGTTACTGTTTTAATTTGAAACTAGTCGCTAGAGCTACATTAAGAATGTTTTGCCATCAAGCATTTATCTCTAGTTTGCTATTCAATAAATCACAATCTAAAAGGTCAGCACTTGGATAGAATCAATATTATATATTCATCCGTGTCAACAGCCCTTATCTTCTACAGTGGTACCTCGGTTCTCTAACTAGGCTGTTCAAGAAGCGATTTGTTGGAAAACTAAAACATTTTCCTCATTAGAAATAATGTAAATTATTTATGAATTAATGAATTAATCCATTCCAAACTCCCAAATGATTCCGTTTTTTGTTTTTGTTTTAAATATATATTTTTAATTTTTTACAGAGAGAAAGAGAGAGGGATAGAGAGTTAGAAACATCGATGAGAGAGAATCATCAATCAGCTGCCTCCTGCACACCCCCTACTGGGGATGTGCCTGCAACCTAGGTACATTCCCTTGACCGGAATTGAACCCGGGACCTTTCAGTCCACAGGCCAATGCTCTATCCACTGAGCCAAACCGGTTTCAGCTGATTCCCTGTTTTAACCTTTCTTCTATACAGTACATGTCTAATGTACTGTTTAATCTATAAATAAACACATTTTTCTTAAGTTTATCGAACCACTCCCTACTAACCTTAAACGAAATTTCTATGTACCACTGCCTCAAACATGCTCTCCTGGGCTAACTGCCTTTCACTGATCCAATCAACAGTTTTTCTGCCTATTCACTTGCCTGTGACTGTGGTTTTATGAGCATTTTCACACCCTTAGTAACATTAGCACTCCCTATGGCCTCTTTATGTTTTAAAATTGTGCTGATCGCCAGCAACAAAAGCATTCTCTCCTTTGTTTGTTGCCTAAGAGACACTTTTTGTCTTGCTGATCATAAAAGGGTGGTCAGGTTGAAAAATAAAGTTTTGTTTGACAAATAAGATTTTTTTTTTTTCTGTAAACCAAACTGGTCAACATGGAAGCCGTTGGAGAAGCAGGTTTGACTGTAGTTTCAGGCTGTGAGTGCCAGAGGACACAGGGCTTCTCAGAGGGGGTGCCCCTGGGCAGCAGCCATAGAAACCCCTGGCACTTGCTAGAAATGACCTGAAGCCGGCCCAGCAACCTGCTTTAACAGCCCACCTGGTCAGTCAGGAGAACCACTGCCCCGGGCATCCCTGTTGATCATCCAGGGAGGGCCACAGGCAATCATAACATTCATAAAATCTTTTGTGTAAAAAATAGTATGCCTCGGTTTTTGTGCAGGAGAAGCCAGCCTGAGGCCAATAAAAGACCCATGAAATCAGTTTGGCTTACTAAAATAAACATTTTCAACCACGGAGAAGAGTATTTCATACAAGCAATGACCGCATGCTGTTTTCCTTTTGAGCGCTAACCGGTGTTGGGTTCCTGGCATGTGCCGTCTCCGATGGCTCTGGCACACTGACGGCTGATTCCAGTTACTCCCTCTTCTCTGGAAGCTGCTCACCCTGTAGCTCAGCAGATCTCAACCCTAGCTGTACATTAGCAACTCCAGACCTGCTCAGAGCCTGACTCAGGACCTGACTTCAGTGACAAACATCTTCAAAGCTCCCGGAAGGGTACTGACGTGCAGTGAGTATTGGCAAGTGCAGCCAAGGCCAACGGTTCTCAAGCACAAACCAATTCAAGGCCTGGGGTTGAGCTGGGAAGCCAGGTCCCTGCTTGCACTCAGATGGGACTAGGGAACCTGCAGTTTTACCGGCTTCCTCCATGATTGTTTACCCACTACACGAAACCACCGATGAACTTGTAGCCCTAGAGCATAGGGGCTACAGGTGACGTTGTGTGCTTTTCACCACCACATCCCTATGCCTGGCAGAGCCTGAAATACAGCGTGGCTATTATTTCCCCTAAATAAGTAAAGTGACAATGAGGACTCAGTGTCCCATCCAGTCTCTATCATTCCTGACGTGTGACTTATTCAAGACACTTGACCTCTCTGTGTCTGGTTTCTCCAATGTCACATGGGAAGAGAGATCTCTCCTACAGGGCTGTCAGCAGGATTAAATGAACATAGGAAAATGTTTAGATAGAAATGGGTTTCCTAGCCCTAGCAGGTTTGGCTCAGTGGATAGAGCGCCAGCCTGCGGACTCAAGGGTCCCAGGTTCGATTCTGGTCAAGGGATGTACCTTGGTTGCGGGTACATCACCAGTGAAGGGTGTGCAGGAGGCAACTGATAAATGTTTCTCTCTCATCGATATTTCTAACTCTATCTCTCTCCCTGCCTCTCTGTAAAAAGTCAATAAAATATATTTAAAAAGAAAAAAAGAAATGGGTTTCATATATACCTGCTCACTGTAGGTCCTTCCCTGCTGTTGCTATCACCACCTCTAGTTCATCAAAGTGCTTTACTGACCGAGAAAATAAGGTGGCAAGGAAGAATGCTTCCAGAAGAGCCTACACCAGAGGCCTCTTGGGGCTGAACCGCAAACAGAAGGCAGAATCACTTCCTACACTTCCTACACCGGATAGTGCAGGATCCCTACTCTCTCCCCATTCCTGGTAAAATTACTCTATGGTATTCCTTTCACCACGGGGGTTGAAAGGTGCCCTACAGAACGAAGGCTTCTCTGGACGGCTAAGAGGAGTAGGGAGGGTAAGTCAGAATTCCGAAGACCCTGCCCCGCTGCTCTCAGTTCTGCATTCCCATTATCAGCAGCGATGCATTCAGCAAAACATCACCCATTCCTAAAATTAGTGGTTATATAAATGTTACTGCTTTTAAAGTTTTGTTTGTGTTTAATTTAGTAGTATATGTTTATTTTCATGTTATCATTGCGTAAGAACTATGAGCATTAAAATTTATATCAAGTTTTATGTTTACACTTATTGAATTATAATAATGTAAAGCAACCCTGGAGAACGTTTTTTGAAAGGGGGCCTATACAATTAAGAAACACTGTTCTAATTTATATATTTTGGGAACTCAAGAAATTCCTGACTCGTGGGTTATCATATTTCCAGGAACTGAAATATTACAAAGGTAGTAGAAAGAAAGAAACACTGTACTCTTCCCCTTCTGATGGAGCACATCAGAACTGAGAATGCCTCAATGCCATCATCTTGCATGTCTTTTATCTTTGAATTCCGGAAACATCCAGGACTTCTGACTGACAGACTGCTGAGCAAGTGAAAGACTTCTGGACTGTTCCTGGAAAAACAACTCCAGGGCACGTTCTGCATGGGAGGGACTAGAAGAACCAGCCTTCTGAGCACAGGACAGCACGCATTTACCAGCCACGTGGGGAGCGCCTTCCAGTCAGGGCCAGGTGTCTGTGCTCTGGGGATGTTTCAGTACCAGGGACATGGGATTACCTGCAGCGCCAGCAGCCGAACGCCTTCCAGCGGTTTATCGGGGTCCACTTTAACTTCCTGCGTTTTGGCAAAAAATTCGAGGTCTTTGATGTTTTGGCAAGCCAGATAAGCATCCTGGGTAGGCAAGCAGACAAAGTTGCACTTACGTCCAGGACGAAGAAGCGAGCGTTTTTCTGGGGAGCATCAGGGTTGACTTTAATGGTCCTGGCCATTTTGAATGCCTGCAAGCGTGGGAAGTGCTCAGCAGCCCGAGACGCACCCTGTGTTAAAGGCAACTGCACGTTACTGAGGACGACTGCAGCCTGAGCACCTGCTCCGGCATCCCTCCCAGACAGCGGAAGCACCCATCGTGCGTGAAACAGGATTTAAGAGTCACACAAAGAAACGTCTAAGAAAGCAGTCAGGGTAGAAAGGGGCTGAGAAAGCTGGCCTAGCCCGTTTGCTACAGATATAAAACACACTCCCCCAAAGGGTACCAATCATGTGTCAGCTTAATGAATTTTCACAAAGGAACACACCTGTGAACACCACTGAACAAGACAGAGCATATGGACCCGGGTTAGAGCCCAAGCCCAGAACCCCCGTCCCGGTCCTAGCTGGTTGTTTTGAAAGATTATCACTGACTCTGTGCACCTGCCATCCTTCCCCTGTACTCACGTACAGTTCTTCCTGGAGTAACAAGCATGAAAACAAAGCAAAGTAGCAACAAAACCATCCAAAAGAGCAGTTTTTCAGAACAGGATGGCCTCGCAACCAGCTCAGGTAAGGACCAGGCAAGGGCTGGGGCCTGCTTCTCGGGAGCCGGGCTGGGAGAGAATGTCCAGCCCAAATGGGGGTGATGGCAAGCACACGGGCTGCACCCTTCCGGCCGAGAGAGCAGTATATTTTCAACAGGCACTTGCTTTTTCTCTCAGGAAACATGAATGCCAAACATTAGAGCTGTGCATGTTGCCTTTTTCAAGCAAACTTGCTCCTACTGATCCTCTCACAGACAACTTTGACTGTCTTCTGTTCTGAGCGGCTGGGAACCTGAGGCCCAGAGTCGTCCGGACCTGGCGAAGCCTCCCTCTTTCCAGAGGTGCTAGCAGTGGGCTGACATCTCAGAGCACATCGCCCTTTCCATTCTTGGGGACCCAATAACATGTGTTCAGCCAGATAAACATTTCATTCTGCATCTAGTAAACAAAGACTGAGAACCATGTCGGTAAGACAACCCACCAACCCACCCTGCACAGAAAGGGGCCCCGAGAGTGAAGGGACACCCGAAACACAGAAACACTCCCACCTGGTGGTTTGGATTTCACACCACGGAACAGGATGGTAACGGTGTCACTAATGTTATTCATTTAGGAATACCGTTTCCCTCCTGAATGCTCTGGGGACGTTTCAGTACCTTGAAGTTGGGAATCCTACGATGGACAGGCCAGGGAAACTCAGCTATATTTTGTGCTTCCATGTAGTCCCAGATCTGCTCCCGAATGCCCTGTTTGGAAACACCTGTCATAACAAGGGTGTCTGATTAAACAGCGGCAAGGAATTCCATGGAGCATGCACCCCAGGGCTGCTCCCATGCCTGCTTCATGCACCCTCCACTCTCTACAGGCCAGACCAGGACCAAGAGCTTCTGAACTCCCCATCATAAAATCAGGGTTAGTGAGAAGTTCTACATCCATGACAAATTATTAAAGTCCAAAGACTGAGCAAACTAACATAATCCCAATGTTTAACCCAGTCCTACTAACCTGTAGCAGAACAAAATGCAACCCACACCATGTAACCAGCATCACCAGGGATGCGTGTTGTGCTCAGTCACAGTGCTGTCACTCAGCACTGTCTATTCAGTCTTGAAACAGCTATGATTGGTCTGCTCCTGCTGTAAGTCCAGTAAGCTTGCCTTAGCCCTCAGCTACGTGTACACCGGCTGTTATTTAGGATTGCCAACTCCAACCCCCTTTGTTAGTGTGGGGATCTTTTCTTCTACGTCCAACTTTGGAAATGCAATTTTGGGCAACAAATATACTGTACTTAGACTGTGGCAGTCCTAATAAAATTTGCATTGGCTATATGCTCCTATTGGAGTAAAGAAATAAAAAGGCAGTTTCCAGATAAGCAGAAAAACAAAACCAGCACTTTCGAATAGAGACATTTAAAAATATTCACTGAATTTTTGTTTTTGTGGGCCCAAACGGATAACCTTGTACAGAAATTTGTATCTACCCGTGTTTCTCCGAAAATAAGACATCCTCCGAAAATAAGACCTACTTACAGGTTTCCTTCTGAGTGAAATATAAAGCATCCCCCCCAAAATAAGGTCTCCCCCTAGGCTAAACTTGAGAGATTTGGTCCGCTGATTCTGAAAGAAATGGAGTCACAAGAAATTCACCAGGAAATTCAGGAATTAGATTGTTATGATGATGTTCCAGAAGATGATGACATGATTGTCATTGAATAAATGAGTAAATTCTTGATACTGTAGGATTCAGTTTGTCTGGTTTGTGTTGACAACTACCGTACTACCGTACCGTATACAGGTAATAACTTTCCTTTATTTTCATTTAACAATAAATGTGTACCGTATTCTTCTTCATGGAAAAATAAGACATCCCCTGAAAATAAGACCTAGCGCATCTTTGGGAGCAAAAATTAATATAAGACACCGGGGAAACGGTACTACTTGTTTTCATAACAATTTATTATACGGCATCACTGAATTATGAAGCAAAGCATTTATGTGTTAATTGCCTTCAGTGATATACTCTCACTACCAACCTGGAAGTATTATAGACTCAGTGCCCACATGTAAGCTCCTGTGAAGAGGAGTGCTATCTATCTATGTACCCTACGTACCCGACACTGCTCTGCACTTTGTTCCTTTACTTAATATCTTGCCGATTAGCCATATGGCATCTAAAAGCACCCTCATATTTTTTTGCAAGTTGCACAGTATCCCACTATTTGAACAGGTCAAAATTTACACAAGCAGTCCCCTACTGATGGGCAGTAAGCAGGTCCAGCCTTTTTTTTTTTACTCATGTATGCTTTTATATTCCTCCCCCCATTTTATAGCAATTGTTAACAGTCTATGTGTAGTTCTAAGATGTAAGGGCCACAGCTAGAGGCTTCTACTGCCTGCCCTCAGACTAGACCTAAATCCCCATGGCACAGCATGCATACTGGGCTCTTCCCAGCCAGAGCCCAGAGCCTCCTGCAGCCCAGCCTGAACATTGCTGGTGCCTCGGCCTGGCTGTGCTTCTGAACCCCTCCAGAAATAAAAGGGAAGACTCGGTGTGCTTAGGGAGCACACCTTCCTAAAGATGCAGGCTGAGACTGTGCTGGTGTCCGCTGGGTGGGCCACATGGGCAGCTTCCAGCGCTCAGCTGTTACTTCCTGCCAGAGACTCTGCACCTGCTGGCCTCTGCTGGGAAGTCTGTTCAGCTCCCTGTCCCTCTGGCAACCCTTTCTTCGAGGCCCAGCTTTAGCACCACCTCTAGGAAGTCTCCCCTCCTCCATTTTGCTCCACTGTTTTGCAGATTCCTCTGTTGGAAGGTGTGGAATGAACTGCAAAACTCTGCTGGCCACTTCAGCCTCATCTCCCATCATCCCTCACTTCAAATCCATAAAGTGGCTCAACCATTGATGGTCCCTGGCCCCCACACCTGCCCACCTCTCTCATTTCCAGGCCTTAATATTTCTTCTCCTCTCCCCTTCTCCCAGGTCCAGCCCCCCTTCTCCCTTCAGGACTGAGACACCATCTCCCCCAGAAGGCGTGCTCTGAGTGCTCAAAGACAGTCATCCTTCCTTTAAGCACCCAGAGGCCCTGGCTGAACCAAAGCCCGGAAAGCTCTCGGGACAGTTGCAGAGCATCATCCTGATATGTCAGGTTGTAGGTTCAACCTCCAGTAAGGGCATATACAAGAATGAACACATGAATGCATAAATAAGTGGAACAAAAAAATTGATGTTTCCCTCTAAAATCAATTAAAAAAAAAAAAGAACCCAGAGCATCCTCACAGTTTTGTGTTTTTTTGTTTGTTTGTTTGTTTGTTTGTTTTTTCCAAAACAGAAACAATCACATTGACACAACTATCCTAAGGCTATTACATCATCACTTTCACTAACAACCCAGAAGTCCTACAATATCCCTAACGAGACCCTTCTGTGTGCAACACAAGACATGCAGAAACCGGGGCCCTGCCCTGGAGCGTCCATTCATCACAAACATTTGAGTGACTCCCATTCAGAACGCACTGGGCTAATTGGGAGGGCAGGGAGAGACTACAAGGGCACGGTCCTTGCCCTTGGAAAGTTCTGAAAACATAGGAAATGGTCAGAAAAATAAAAGGCGACATATATCAATGTGTGAAGTGCCGGGCCCTGTGCTGTGGCTGCGGGTCAGGTCAGCTCCGGTTTCACTCTTCTCCCTCTAGCTGAGCTCCGTCCTGGCACGCGGCAGCACCTCCAAGGGTCTTTTTTTTCTCACCCCCCTGCGTTGTCAGCAACTGCTTACTGTGCGGTGTTCACGCCGCACGTGCAGTCAGGGCAGGACCCTGGCGCGCCATGAGCTCTAGGTGATCTTTGCCGGGCACTCCTGCAACTAGTCACCAAGGCCCGGGGAGCTCTGGGCCCAGCCTCCCCAGTGCCTGGGACGCCCGAAGCATCAGTTAGGAAGACAATGATGGACGAAGTGCCCCGGCGTTTCGGTGACATTGCAAGCGGCCGAGAGCCTGTTTCCCTCTGTAAAGCAGGAATGGTAGGGAAGGGAAGATCTCTCGGGAGCAGTTGTGATGATTGGTACAGGGCTAAGGGACGTCACCTCCAGGCCGGCCAGCAGCCCTCCTCCCTCTGACCCCATTATCTCGGTATCCCGCCCGCGTTCGACCCCAGCCCTCTTCCCACATGACCCATCCGCCTTCCCCATGGGCCCTCCCTGCCCCCATCCTTCCCTCCGTAGCCCCTAGACCCCCCGCCAGATCCGGGACAGGACCCTCACCCGCCCTGAGCTCCATGGCGACGCGGTCAGTGCGCGACACCCGGGCCGGGTTGACGCAGAGTGACGTCATCCGCGTGCGCCCACCCCCGCGCGTGCGCGCTGGCCGTGGAGCGGGGCCGGAGGGGAGGGGTCGCCGTGCAGAGACGGGGGAGGGGGAGCGGCCGGGAGCTTTCGTGGAGCACGACAGCCTGGAGCTTCGGCTCCCACGTGCGTTTGCCGGGCGCTGAGGCTGCGTACGTGAACAACCCCGGGCTCTGGCCGCTGTCGCCAATCCCAACCACCCGCCTCTTTATCCCCAGGGGGCGCCTCCTCCGGGAAGCTGCCCTGATTGCTCCTCCAGAACTACAGACCCATAGGCCTCTCCTCTGAAACCTAGAGAGCCGACTCCTGCGGGGGCACCTGTTTAAAATGTCAGATTTTAGCCGAAACTGATTTGGCTCAGTGGATAGAGCGTTGGTCTGCGGATTGAAAGGTCCCAGATTCCGGTCAAGGGCATGTACCTTGGTTTCGGGCACATCCCCAGTAGGGGGTGTGCAGGAGACAACTCGTCGATGCTTCTCTCTCATTCTTATTTCTAGCTCTATCCCTCTCTCCCTTCCTCTGTAAAAAAATCATATGTATATATTTTAATGTTAGGTTTTAAATGGAATGGAATTCACTGGGTCTGGGGCCGGGCCCACTCCAGGCCCTGGTGAGTGGTAAGCAGGCTCGGAGGCCGCACTTTGAGCCCACACCCCTCAGATTTCACCGTGGCCTCTGCATCTCCTGGCAGCCTGCGTCTGTATCATTCACTCATTTGTTCTCTCATTCATTCAACACACAGGATGGGTCCATCTAAGGCACATGTGTCAAACACAAGGCCCGCGGGCCAAATCCGTCCTGCCAGGCCTTGCAATGTGGCCCGCACCGCGCTGTCATCACTGCACTCCGCTGCGTTTCCATCACAATGACAGTTTATGACTGTTCAGTAAACCATTCGGCCCACGATTTAGGCTGGATTTTAGATTTTGGCCCCTTCTCTGATTGAGTTCGACACCCCTAATCTAAGGGATGTTGGAAGATATGGGGCTGAAAGGACAACCAAGTCCGTGGCCTCCCTGCCTCTAACTGGACAGATGACAGAGGAGGGTCAGTTTGGCCGCAGCATTAGGAAAATCCCTTTCCCCCAAACAAAGTGGGAGGATTAAGCCACTAGTAACCACTCCCTGTGAGTGATTCCATACCCTTAGCAACATGAGTAGTGCATTATAAGCACTCAAAAAGGGTACCCAGTTTTCAAGGTTCTTTACACAATCCTTTCAACCAATGTGAAATAGACAAAGCAAAAGCAATTTAAAAAATATATATTTTATTGATTTTTTTAAAGAGAGGAAGGGAGAGAGAGATAGATAGTTATAAACATTGATATGAAACATCAATCAGCTGCCTCCTACACGCCGCCTACTGGGGATGTTCCTGCAACCAAGATACTTGCCCTTGACCGAAATCGAACCTGGGACCCATCGGTCCGCAGGCTGATGCTTTGTCCGCTGAGCCAAAACCGGTTTCAGCACAATTTTAAAATTTTTATTTTTATTGATTTTAGAGAGAGGAAGGGAGAGTGAGATAAAAACACCAATGTGAGAGTAAAACATTGAAGCCACCTTTTCCCACACCCTGACTGGGGATTGAACCCACAACCTGGGTATATACTCTGACCAGGAATCGAACCTGCCACCTTTTGGTGTTCGGAAAGACACTCCAATGAACTGAAACACACTGGCCAGAGGTGGACAAAGCATTTTAATATTCACTTTATAGATATGGAAAATGAGTTTCTGGGTGTTCCAGTGACTTATTCAAGGTCTCACAAAACTAATCCTAATCCATTTGCATCCACCATATAGAACATGATTAAAACCAGTAATAAACAATGCTACTAAAGTGCCAGGCTCTGGGCTCAGTGCCATAGAGGGCAGACCTAAATATAATCCCCACAACTGTAGGCAGCAAATGTGACTGGCATTCTAGAGAGCAGGAAACAGAGACTCAAGATGTTGAAGAACCTTGCCCAAAGCCACCCAAATGGGAAGGGACAGAGCATGATACAATCCTGACGAGGTTAATGCAAACCTACAGCTCCTGGTCACAACCCTGCATGGCCAGGTGGTATCCCTGGCATTGATGTATAAAGACATCCACAGGCCTTAATGCTCCATGCAAAGGGCCAGGTCTTCGACCAGGCTTGTGAAGAGAGTCCAGAGCTCTGGACAGTGGAGGTTATAAAATGAAATCTCTTAGCAAGGTGGGTGTCCTTTCCCAGTTCAGGAGACACAGTTAATGGGTGCAAAGCATTCTATGCAAATTGATCTGACTCACTGTCAGCCAGGGGTGCTCAGAGCAGAGGCCAGGCTGATAACCTAGCCCATGCCCCAGATGGAAGGAAACACTGAGGACAATTTCCCCCAGGGGCGATTTTAGAAAGCAGGTGGTGCCAGAGGAAAGGGCATTCCATTTACCGTATTTTTCGGACCATAAGACGCACTCCCCCCCCCCCCAGAAGTGGGGGGAAAAAGTTCCTGTGTCTTATGGTCCAAATATAGCCTACACATATACTTTAAAAAAAAAAGTTTTTTTACTTGCCCGGCTCTGTGTGGTCTCTGTGTGCTTGCCCGGCTCTAAAATGGTTCTAAATGCTGCTGTTTACTTTACAGGGTTGATTACATGTGTTTATGACTGTGATGTTGGGTTTTAATGCACATAAAATATTTTAGGACACTATTTGTTTCAGAATCTTTTTTTCTTCATTTCCCTTCTCTAAAAACTGGTGCGTCTTATGGTCCGGAGCGTCTTATGGTCCGAAAAATACGGTAGTTCTTTTACACCCACGTTTCAAGTTTGAAGTACCCCCAAACTCCAGGCACTTAAAAGAATAATTATAAGAGGACAAGGCTGGCATGGCTCAGCAGTTGAGTGTCTACCTCAATGATCCAGGATTCCCAGCCAGGGCACATGCCCGGGTTTCTCCATCCCCAGTTGGGGCATGCAGGAGGCAGCCGATCAATGATTCTCTCTCATCATTCATGTTCTATCTTTTTCACTCTCTTCCTTTCTTTCTGAAGTAAATAAAAAATATATTTAAAAAAATAACTTAAAAAGAGACATCTTAGAAGAAATTAGCTGGCTCTCTTGTAAAAAGATATTCTAGAACTTTAACTCAAATGCTTCAAGTTTGGTTATATATATAAATTTGCATTTGGTCACTTGAGGATTTTTTAAAATAGACTTTACTGTTTAGAGCAGTTTTCAGTTCATAGCAAATTTAGATGGTTCAGAGAGTTCCCACATAGCCCCATTCCTCCTCACACAACCTCCCCCTCTATTAACGCCCCCCGTCACAGAGGTACATGACTGAAATGGATGAATCTACACTAACACATATGATCACCATTAACTGAAAGTTTGTGTCCCCCCAATTCATATGCTGAAATCTAATCCCCAGTGTGATGGCGGTAGGAGGTGGGGCCTGCGGGAGGTGACTAGGTCATGAAGGCAGAGCCTTTATAAAAGGGACTCCACAGAGCTTCCCAGTCCCTATCACCTTTGAGGACATGGCGAGAAGAAGGCTGTCTGTGCACTAGGAAGAGGGCCCTTGCATTGCCTCCCAAAATGTGGGAAATAAATGTTAAGTGTTTAAGCCGCCCAATCTGCGGTATTTTTGTTATGGCAGCCCCAGCTTAGACACAACCAAGTCCACCGTTCGCATTAGGGTTCGCTCTTGGTGGTTGCACCCTCTGTGGGTGTGGACAAAGGTATAATGACATGTAGCCACTATTACAGTTTATACAGTGTAGTTTCCCTGCCCTAAAAATCCTCCCTTCCTTCCCGCTTCTGACCCTGGCAATCACCGATCTTTCCCCTGTCTCCACGGTGCTGCCCTTTCCAGAATGTCATAGGGCTGGCATCGTACAGCACGCCGCCTTTTCAGATCGGCTTCTTTCACCTTGGATGGTAATGTAGGAGCCCTTACGTTTCCTGCATGTGCTTGCAGCACTGGATACAATGGCCCAGTTTAATCTCTGCACCCGCTACAGGACATCGTGTAGCTTCCAAGTCTGGGCCATTGGGAATGAAGCTGCTATAAACATTTGTGTTCGAGTGTACTTGAGGATTTTAAAGCTTGTCCTAGGCATGCCCTTAGGAACTCTCACCAGCCTGTTAGAAGCTGGCTGGAAGAAGAAGGTAAGTGGGCGAAAAGCTCGGCCATGGAGTGCTGTGTGACTGAGGTAATTAACACCACCTCTCTGAGGTCCAGCTCCCTCTTCTGCAAAATGTAGGGGGAGTGCTGCCTCCACTGGAGTCAGTGAGAGGACAGAGTCAGCGAGAGGATGGGGCCAGCCAGAGGTTGGAGTGGTTGGTACCTGCCCAGCCCTCGGGCGAGCACGCTAGAGATGTTGAGAGATGAAATCCAGCACCTAAGGTGCTGGGCGATGAGAGCTCAACCTCTCCCTACGTGGGCTTCTGAAATGCCCATGTTTCCAGCCCCCCACGCGTCACAGGATGGGTGTAAAACATGAAACGTCAGATTCAGCTTTCAGCTCTCTGCATCATATTCGCAAACGCAACTCCTCACGCTATCACGAAAACAACAAGTGAATGATTCTGTAACAAAGGCTGCTCCTGAGAAGCTCGAAGATGCCCTTCCACTTTCAGGCATTCCTCTGCCAGCTGCTCTGCTTGTGCTGCGCGCCCTCTCTCCTCCCGGGATCAGCTGAGGCCTGTTCGTCAGTGGATAGCAGCTGGTGGGAGGCTGTACTTTGGCAAGACGAGGATGTCACAGTGATGCCTTGTCATTCCTACTGCACCACCCAGGCCAAAGATGTCCCTCCCTCTGGGCCTGCCTCCTCCTCCTCCTTCCCCTTCTCCTCCTCTTCCTCTTCCACCTCCTCCTCCTTTTCCTCCTTCTCTTCCTCCTCTCTCTCTTCCTACTCCCCTGCTTCCCCTTTCTCACCCTCCATGTACCTGAATTCTTCCAGTTGTGACCCTGGCTCCATACTGCCTCCACCTGGCAAAGCACACACTCCTCACCAGGACAAGCGAGGCCCTC